ACCTGGTGCAACACATGGGTGNTTTTCAAGTATTTGTATGATTCTAGATTGATCTGATGGTACTTTTCTAATGCTTAATAATGTATTAAGATTAGAATATACACAAAATTAATGAATTATCATTTCTCACATGGATGGGCATATTTGTTAATGTTAGTATCTAATATTATTATTCTTCATCACCTTCAAGCCATTTCATGGAAATTGTTTCACATGACTCACTTCCATTATATTATATTCTCCATCTTTTTAGCATCATCACCATCGTCAAGGCAACGACAAGACGATCTCATCAGTATCAGCATATTCTTATTGGAAAATAAAATTATCATCGATCAATCATCCAAAATTTGCAATGCCATGCATGAACTATAGTTGGAAAATTGATACGCCTTATGTTCAGATTTTTGCATGTCTCACTCATCCGTCGTTTCGAACTCAAATTGCCTATATTTTTAGAGTAATGCTATAGTTACCAAAAGGAGCGTATCAAATTCATACACCGAATGACGTGACAAAATCCTGACCATCGATTAATATGAGTTTGCGCTCTTTTCGGTAACTATATTATTTTCTATCTTTTTATCCTTCTTTACATATTGGAGATTCACTGTTAAAAAGAGTTAAACACATTAGTCAAAGTACTACTTTGATCTTTTCGCCCATAAAACTATCAAAGAGTTGACTTCACTCTTTTAGAATTATCAAAAGCGTATTGGAGAGGTCTTGGACTTATAAAAGGGATAGTATTTCCACATAATAGGTTAACCTTTTGGATGTAAATCTCTTAGTTCGTGACAAGTGGTATCAGAGCGGACTTGGTATGTCTTTTGATTTCTTGGAGGTAGACGGGTAGGTAGGGGACGCCACTTGTGACGAAGGCGTCACAAGATTGATTGGGGAGAATGTAACGAATCTCACATCAGAAGCGTATTAGGGAGATTTTAGGCTTATAAGGGGGAGTCCCTCCACCTAACAGGTTAATCTTTTGAGTATGAAACTTCCCGTAGTAACGCATGGTTGTTGTGTACAATTACCATAAAGAGTTTGACCTGAGCAACCATCAAAAGAGACTTCAACATTAGAGTGATTAGTTTAGTCTCATCTCATTGTTAATATTTTTTAGAGTTTGTAATTTTCGTAAAGCTCGAAGAAACATGGCCAGCCTCTAAACTGGGATGACTTACAGAAGATGAAATGTTCATGGAATGTTGCACTTGAAGTGATGAGATTCCTTGAGGTGATGAGATTCATACCCGCATTTCAAGGAACCTTTAGAGAGGCTAAATTGGACTTCAATTATGAAGGTTATAACATTCCTAAGGGCTGGAAGGTATAGATTATCAATTAGTTACAACCTTTTTTATCTTTTTGTAAGGTAATTATATAAATATTTTACTAATTTTGCATTTTTTTATGTGGATGTATAGATCTTTTGGTGAGTATGTACCACGAACAAGAATCCTGATTATGTTATGGAGCCAGAAAAGTTTGATCCAATGAGGTTTGAGAAAACAAATAATAAGAATGGTCCTCCTCCTTACTGTATGCTAGAATCTTAATGCTGTCTTTTCTGCATCATGTTGTGAAGAACCTCAAATGGGAGATAATATTTCCCGATGAACAGATTTTAGGTGGTATAATCCCAACACCAGCACAACGGCTTCCTGTTAGGCTCTACTCATACTTGGCTTGATTAATTTTCTAAGTGTTTAGTTACTATACTGAGTAATATCATCACCTTCACTAGGAAAATTGAATCAGAATCTAATGGTTCAAGACTTCAAGTAAAATAATGTTATCCCAGTATCATAGAATCAATCTATTAACAATAAAATGGCTTGAATCGTTGTAACGTAGATACGGAGTTAAAATCTTGTAAATAAGAAGAGTAATGTTAGGTTTATAACCTAATCTCACAACCTTCTTTTACAACCCTTGACGTAGTAGTTCGTCATTGATCAGCTCGCAAAATAGATCCTATCTTCTTGTATGGGTCTTATCTGCCCATTTGCAAACTAACTAATGATGAGTTGCCACGTCGGAGGTTGTGAGAGAATGTTGTAAGAGAAGGTTATAAATCTAGCATTATTGAAAGAGAAATACTAGATGTACAAAGACTCCTACAAGGAGTCTTTGTACAAGGAGTCTTTGTACAAAATGATGTGGCAACTGCCACACCACTAATTTGTGAAAAGAAAGAGATGATTGATGTGAAACTAGTGGTGTATGGGTCTTATTTGCCCATTTGCAAACTAACTAATGATGAGTTACCACGTCGGAGGTTGTGAGAGAATGTTGTGAGAGAAGGTTATAAACCTAGCATTATTGAAAGAGAAATGCTAGATGTACAAAGTTTGTACAAAATGATGTGGCAGCTGCCACACCACTAGTTTGTGAAAAGAAAGAGATGATTGATATGAAACTAGTGGTGTAACAACTGCCACATCAATTTATACAAAGACTCTTTATAAGAGTTTTTGTACCTTTGGCATTTCCCTTATTGAAATTGAATTTCTTTTGCATCCCTATTTTTTATGTGTAGAATGTAGATGCTTTGATTGTCATAAGTTTCTATCTCTTCATCAAATTAACGGGTCCATAATTCAGTAGGCCAAATTATTGGGGATAAATGATATTTTTCCTAGGAGATATTGTAAAGAACTAACCATTTTTCAGTCAAGTGCGTCATGCTTTTATCGGATTTTGCAAAGCAAAGCCTAATTGAAGGGAAGTGGGAGTCGGCCTAATCGCAAAGCAAAGCAAAGCCTGTGTACTCGCCCGCAAGGAGATTATACTACACGACCGTATCGATAAATTCCTGTCTTCTTTGATTTTTCAAAGAAATGGAAATATCAATAATTAAAAGTCAACGAGTTGGAAAAAGACAGCTGAGACATCCATCATCTCTGAATGTGGTTTTGGTGAGCACTTTGCCTAATCCACTTGGAGAAAAATTTTGGTCATTTTGAAGACAACAAAAAGTCAATGCCAAATTGATATTTTGGAGAACTTTCCCTCAAATTTAAACAAAAAAGGTTGACACCCTCATAGATTTTTCCTTTTTCTAATGTCTCTATGTCTGAAATGTTTTGACATTTATTATATACATGTTCCAAATATCAAGATTGAATTCACATATGTAGATGAAGAAGATAAGAGAGACAGACTGGAGAAGCTAGCAATTGCTTTTCCACTCATTCATGTAGAGCTGGTCAAGGACTAGTCCCATGCAGGCCCAGGCCTGGTCCCGAATGGGACCAGTCGCTCATGGGCCTAAGACCAGTCCCAGGCCCATGAGCAATTTTAAAACTCGGACCAGTCCTTAGGACCGATCCGATGGACCTGAAAAATTTCTCTTTTCCCCTTGATTTTTTTTATATTTTAGGGGAGAAACGAAATTTTGTAAGGGGTTTTTAATATTTTTCAGGCTTGGAAAATTTTTTTTTAATGAATTTTGTAAATTTTTATTTGAACCCCTATAATTTATGTTTGTTTCAAAATTTATAAGAGGTTTTATGTAATTGTATAAGAGACTAAAACGAAAATATTTAAAAAAATTTGGACCTGGGCTTGGGACCGGAGGAGGGCCCAGTGGAGGGACCGGGCCTTCCTCCTTGGGCCTGGTCCCAAATTGGGTTTTTGGGTTGAGTTTTTGGACCCAGTCCCAAATGCCCACCTCTATATTCATGCATAATCCCAGTCCAATACCTCCATGCATCATGTTGCAATACAACTAATCAACGAGAAATTAAGTGTCTTCTACTAACACTGATGTGACATAGGATGTACAAAAGACTTTCTCCCCAATTTGTGTTAAATGCGCATAAAGTTTAAGAAAATGGAACAACAAAAGGTTTATGAATAGAGTTAATTTTATTGTACACTATTTAGAGGACTCACAACATGTATAACTAATTAAACAGCATGATAAAGGTTTCTCTATCTTTCAAACCCTTCAGAGCTAAATCGGTCCCCAAAAATTTTCACACTAGATCTCAAGATGATGTTTATAATTTATTAAAATAAGAATGAACAATGTGGGCTTACTCAATGTGAGTTGAAGAAATGGCTGACGTAATTTCTTTGGTTCGTGGATCACTACTTTCTAAACAAACGCCGCGAGGGTCTTCTCTAACTAACAATGCCAGAACATTGTGTGAACTCCATGTTTTGGTCAAGTTGCTGCCTGAATCCCCTAATGTAACAGCAAAAATAGCATCAAATCCACCTGCTCCAGGAACTCCGGCCAACAAAACTCCTTCCACGTTCATAGTAGCATTTAAAAGCTGAGTTTGTGACTCAGGTTCTATCTGCAATTTGAGAAAGTCGGGGAGAATATAAGAAGTGATGACATGACAGACAGGATGTAAGACCAATAAAGCAACTGCTTAAGCAAAATATTAAATGCTGNCAGGTCGGGTTATAAATTTTCATATTCATTGAAAATCCTAAAAATTAAAACATCAATATGTAAACAATTGAAGATCGGAATGTTAGGGCTTTTGAAGAGAAATGACCGATGAGTGCAATAGTGGCAACGACAACGATTTTTGGTGAGTGAATCGATCGGAAATCACAAAACAATATCGTCGAAAAAAGCCCGTCATCGCCAACGATTGGAAGGCAAACAGGGGAGTGGTATAATGGGTTTTGGTCAGGAGGTTGGAGGGAGTGTTTTCTTGGTGATGGGGAGTATTGTCCTAGTTGGAAACAAGCCCTATTTACCGACGTCAATGATGGTGTTTGGGGTTTTTTTACAAGATTTCAAACCTATAAAGACTTACACATAATTTTTAAGGGTATTTTTGTTAAATTTCAAACCTTTGAGCACAGGTATGACCCACCAGTCAAACCGATCAATCAAGACTCGACTACTTTGCCGAGTTTCACCCCGAGTTGGGTTTTAAAACATTGCATTTAACAGGGTTGTTACTCTACCTAACCTAGCCAGATGTTGAAAGTTTTTGAGTTAAAATTGAATATAATTACTAAATTAATTAAGTAAATAATCAAAGTTGATGAGATATTGAAACTATTTAACCGTTATGTTTCCTATCATGGACTAAATTATACAAACTGCAATAAAATCCGGATACAAGTCAAGAAAGATATTGCACAATGGTGACCAAAACAAGACATGAGTAGAAGCCTGACAATATTTAAGTGTCCTATGTTGAAGTGTCCTCCATTGCTGGGCAGGAGAAATACATTCAACCATATGTTGGGGCTAAGCACTCGTCGACCATATCCACAAGGTTTGGATTTTCCAGTGCTGCTGCCACTCGTTCTTTATCATTCAGTTGTTTATTAACTGCATTAGAAAGGAATATAGTGTATAAATACCATGACATAATTTATATAAGGTTTTCTAGAGTTAATAATCCGATCATGCCATTCAAAACCTGCGCTTTGTATTTCAATAAAGCATATCTAGGAAATGCTATAAGCCCCAATTAACTTGTCTGTGAAAACGGATAAGTTATAGAGAGGGAAACAACTCAAAGTTCTTGGCAAGATGTTACTAATGTGATAGGAACTCACTCCAATAATTCAACAATTGGGCTGGGTCAGAGGTCTTTCATGGGCTTAGATAGAACTCTCCTTGGAAAACTGGCTTACCGAAGGAAGGTGCCCAAGCCCTTATAACCCACATGCCTACCATTTTTCCTTCCAATGTAAGATCCTAACATTCCACTACGCTTCCGCAACCAATATCAACGTCGGCCTCTTTACCCTCTAGGTGACTACTCGGATCCCTTTTCCCTTGGGCCTCCATACCCTTTTCAGGATAGCAGCCTGAGCCCAAGGTCAGTCTGCCATGAGTCAACCTGCCACGCGTGCTCTGCCACGTAGGCGTAGGATCATGCTCTGATATCAATGGATAGGAACCCACTCCAATAACTCAACAATTGGGTTGGGCTATGGGTCTTTCATGAATTTGGATAGAACTCTCCTTGGAAAATTGGCTTCCCAAGGAGGGTGCCCAAGCCCTTATAACCCAAATGTCCACCATTTTCCCTTCCAATGTAGGATCCTAACATAATGCCAGAACAGTGATCAAGGTTAGTGGTTCTACATCTAATAGGCTTTAGATGCGAGCGGGGTCATAAGTCACAATTCAACTCCACATTAGAGTCATATTGACATGATCCACCAAAAAGAGCACGAAGCTTTTTGCAGGATCCAGTCCAAATAACAAAAAGAAAAGGACAAGAGAAAGTGAGAAAGCATGCAAGTACCTGCAGCTTCTGTTGCATGAGTTCCGGGTGCTACCCTTATATCCACCTATTAACAATAACCTTGAACAATTAGAAAGTGAAGTGATGATAGAAATGAGGGTGGTCAGATGCATGTAAGACAATCAGTGTTGAGACCAGCTTAGCAATAAAACATTGTAAATTTCATCCATAAAGTACAACAAATAGAAACTTAAAACCATAATATGACAAAAGACTGGATATTGTAACAGCAGGGCTAGTGACACAGCCACAAGTATGTGGAAACTTCATCCTTATGAATCACTTAACAATGATTATAGCAAGTAAACTCCAATCATTCTGCATATACTAGAGATATTTTTTTGGGACCCGCTAAAAACGTAAATATTGATACTCATTAATTGGTGATCCATGTCTTCCTACAATTATAGTTTTGTGCACCAACAATGCCCTTGAAGGAGAAACCGAACAACCAATCATGATAAAGAGAAGAAAGAAGAACTCCATTGACAAACGGGTATTACGGATTCATAGTATCAAGTTTATTTTTCTATTTCTTTTTCTATTGATACTATAAAGAAGTAAAACAGATATTGGACCAGGTATCCTTTACAACAACAAAACCCATCTAGTATCAGGGTCGAAGGCTTTACAAAGACTATTATGAATGTGTATAATCTGTGCAAAAAAGAACAAACCAAAAAGAAATATTACTACAGCCTAAACAGCCCCAAAAACACAACAAAACTATCATGAATCTACATGATACTAGTTTCTTGTTCCAAAACAACCCATATTTCGGTTGTCCGGAGATAGGCCCACTTTCCCAAGCCAGACAAAAATAAAAAAGGAAACAAAGCCTACTCAAAGAAAGAACCTTGCCTCAAATTAGTAATATAAAGTATCAAGAAATATCAAACAACATATAAACCCCTAGTCCAATGACACAGCAGCACTAGAATACACTGGCCCTAGTAATGTAACAAATCATCCTGAGATCTATAAAAAAATACTTCATCCATTACACTTCCATAGATCCCATATGTAGTAATTGTGTATGGTGAAGAAAAATTAAATGGCAAGCTGTCAACCAAATTAATACCTTGTAACGCATAGGAAGACTCCTCATAAGTTTCACCCGCAAGCACAGACCAATAACTGTTGCCATACTGCAGTGTTCAACTGTTGGAGTGAATGTGACCCTGAATGAGAACATATTACTTATTCATTAAATTTTCCAACCTAACTTGATTATGAAATAATGAACACGATTAAGATAACCTTTCACCTTACATAGCTATGCTCATCATCCACCTCAATTGCATCTTCTGTAATTACTTTGAGTTCTTCCAATGAGTATGGGTGCTCTGGATCTTTTATATCTCTTACATGATTTAAGAATGTTAAGGAAATAAATTAATACACAACCATCATACAGTTTTGTTCAGAAGTCATTGATCCCTTTTCAAATTATTCTAATTCGTAAATAATTGATTCTATAAAAGAAAAAAGACAAAATGTCAAGAAACATACTGTGCTAAAATAATTTGTTACTAAGTTTAACAGACAGAAAAACACATATTTGCAACAGATTATGTTTCCACAGAAACCACAAAAATGTTATCTCAGTTATTATAAGCATCGTGAGATTTACTGCTGGCATCAGATTTAAAGTCAAAAAGGATATCAAATACTTCTTGTTGGTCAATTGGTTCGACAGCATACTCGTCTGCATTACTAATGAAACTTCGAACTCGTCGTTCCTTCTTTTCATACACTGTTGGATTTGCATTTATCAACCCAGAAACCATCTTCACTGCTGTAATTTAAATAGATTACAAAAAAGCAAACTCCTGCACAGTCAAATAATATTGCAACAAATAAACTATCATTCATTATTTCATGCATAACAAAAATAAGTAAATTCAAATGTCAACTAAATCAGCCTACAAACATTTAATCACACTACAGACTAGGAAATGTATAGTAACATGCAAACGTATTTGCTTCCATTTTTTACCACTAAACCGCTAACAAATATTTCATATTGCCACCAAAAATAATAATAACAAGGAGGTTGACTTCACAACTTATTTAAGGACATCTCTTGTAAAAGATAACTAGTCACATTATTTCTACCTTGCAAAAAGTTTCTTTAATCTTAGCATGCTATTAACCTCATCTGTTAGGTTTACTTCAAGGCAACTCCGGCAAGCTATCGGCTGCATATATTAGGGTCTCATATTTACCACTTAAAAATTTTTCCAGCAGCAACCAACCATAAAATAATCTGTACGTCTGAATCACTGGATTTTGATTTACAAAGAAAGATTTTAAACTGATTTTGAAGTCTTATAAGCCCCAAAACGAGGGAAACAAACCTCCTACGTTCACTAATAGTGTACAACAAAAGGTTTGGCTTCCTAAACTCTTCAAAAGAAAATAATATAATTATAAAATCTCTAGGTTCCAGATTCTCGGTGCTAATCATATTTCCTTAAAAAAAAGCAATAATGAAGGACAACTAATATACAAAGATGAACTTTTCTGCATCATGATGCTATGCAAGACAGCAATTGACAATGAATATAACATTAAGCAACTGGTTAGGGTTTATATTAAAATTTCAATTAATTATATAAAAGGCAGTCGTGCAAAGGTGCATAAGCCACTTCAATCGACAAAAAGAATTATAATCAATATAAAATTATCAGCGGGAACATAAACAAACAAGCGAACAGCCACAGAGAAACGAAAATAGAAAATTTAAAATAAAGAAGAAGAAGAAGATGCCTTGTGAGGGAGACGAAAGCAGAAGACGATTGAGCAACGGTTGAAACAGAGAAAATAGTGTAAGGTGTTTTCGGCGAAGGATTGATTGGGTCAATTACGGATTCGAGTCCAAGTCGGATCAAAGATATTGGTGCGTTTAATATTTCTATCAATATTCTCCGTGCTATTCTCAAAATATTTGTTTATTTAATTATTTAAATAATATTAGTATACTCTTTTAATTATTTTTAAACATCTTAAATTTATTAATTTCATTAAATATTTCTAAAAAAAAATTTAAAAGTTAATAAAAACACTTTTCCTTATCCACAATTGTCAGATTTTGACTACCACTGTAGAATCTATCACAACAGCTTACAAACAACTAGAACTGATTGGTAATTCACCGATCTAGTCATCGTTGACGATCAACGATAACTATATTTTTTACCATCGTTGACAGTCAGATCTGACCTTTAACGACCGTTGACGGCTAGATCTGATCGTCAATCTGGCCTATCTGACTAAAAAAGGTAAGATTGATGCACGTACGACCAAATCCAATCGGTTTGCATCGTAATGTTAGATTCTGATCAGATTCTGATAGTGGTGGCCAAAATTTGGCACTATCAGTAGATGAGAGTGTTTTTGTCATTTTACAAAATTTTTATATATTAGAGTATTTAGTTAAATTAGCAAACCTACGGGGTTTTTATGTTAATTTTTAAATTTTACCTCATAATACTCACTCTATTCAATTACCCAATATTATTCCTAAAATTATATCCAAAATAATAAAACAAATTGACCCAAGCTTTTCTTTGGGCCATTGTCATGCATTGAGGTTGGAATTTTTTTTTTTTTTTTTCAATCGAGATATTTGGGTCAGTGTGCGTTTGTCTAAACTAATTTTTAAAGTCCACCGTTGAACATCTTATAAGTATAAAGGATAAGATAAGTACAAATATTATTCAACATTGTCAACTTCTTTAAATAAATATGTGAAATAGCAGGAAGATAGGGTGGTCCTTCCCGTACAGGATCCAGGCTCAATCCCCTTCGTCTCCCCGATTCCCATTACACAAACAAACAAACGCAATTCAAGACCGCCAAAGCTTACCGCTCTCTTAAATCTGCAAATATCGATTGATTGATACTACCATCTTCTCTCGCAATTCATCACCGCAATGGGTTACGACGACGATCCGTAAGTTTTCTCAATTTCTCTTCGCTTTTTTTTGTTTCTTCTTATTTTTCTT